ATTTCCTGACTATTTAAGAATGTGTGCCCGAAGACTGGTGTCTTTTTGGTCAGTTGTTGAAGAGGTAACACTCTAAAGTAAACAATGCATGTGACTTTTGCAAAATGAACAAAATTGCTGAAAGAGCAGTGATTCAATATTTGCTTAAGAAAGGTGTAGTACCTAAGGATATCCATACTGATATGGTAGCAACATTAGGGAATGATGTCCCTTCATATACCACAGTGAAATGATGGTTGGCGGAATTTAAGCATGACAGGCAGAGCCTTTAGAATGACGTCCGTACTGGAAAGTCAGTCACTGTTACAACCCCCCAAACTGTCAATAAAGTCCATGCTAATGTTTTGGTTTACAGATGAGTTATCGAGAGATATATGCCCAGTACAGGTGGGATTTCACAGGATAGAGTACATTCCATTTTTTCTTACAGTTGCTCAGAAGCACCGGGCGGACTTTGTCGTGTGCTAACCCGGTTCATCCCGCCAAAGAAGGCTAAGACTGTTCCATCAGCTAGAAAAGTTATGGCCACGGTTTTTTGGGATGCTGATGGCAGATTATCTGCAAAAGGGACAAATAATCAATGGCACCCATTCTGTGTCACTTCTTAGGCAGTTAATAGAAAGTATTAAACTCAGACTCTCTGGAAAATTCAGTAAATGTGTGTGATTCCACCAGGACAGTGCCCTTGTTAACATTGTCCTTGCAATGGCTGCCATTAACAATTGTGACTTTTAAATGATTGAAAATCTGTCTTATTCGAATAATCTCGCTTCATCAGACTTTAATTTATTTCCAAAATTTAAAAAAAGGCATTACCGGTACTCAGATGATGACGTCATACATGCAGTGGAGGACTTTCTGAATGGTCAAGAAAAGATCTTCTTTAAGAGTGGCATTGAGGTCCTTAAACATCGCTGACAAAAGTGTATATATACTGAAGGGGATTATGTTGAAAAAAAAAATGTCCGCCAAAAGTCAAACCCTTAAACATGAGTCACACTTATCAACCATCCCTCTCATATATTGAAACACGATATCTGATGGAACTATTTCAAATGAATGACCAGGCGACTGCAAACATCACGTTTAACCATCAGGGATCATGCGACCTAATAGATATTTGTGTGCCTACAACTTTATTGCGAATTACGAAAATAGAACCGTTTCCGAACCATAGTAACTTTAGCATAGATGTATTACACATCGCTAATGTGTCGCTTGCATATTACGCAGTAAGAGACAGGGAAAACCAGTTGCACCCTACAGGACATAGCAGTCCACGTTTCCGTCAAGTGAAGGGTGCGTGTCTCTCTAATTTAACCCGGATAAAGTTCCGTACGGGACAGTTTTGCAGGCTAAACAGGATGTCACATTTATGTATCAAATGCAATCAACTCTCATTAATGTCAATATCAAAATGTGTGAAAGAGAAAAACGTAAATAAAAATACGGCTTGATTTAAGCAGGACTGATAGGGCCGTTTCATCTATTTCCACTAAATAACTTATAAAATAAAATCATTTGATCAAAATCATTTACTCGTACATTATTTTATATTATTTCTAGTACAAATTTCAACACGCTATTATACACTGTTAGACTAGTTTTCATGATTCATATATATTATATTTGTAGTCCATGTTTTGATAAGGAATAATGGATAGTGAATGGAAATATTTCTTAGGTTAAGGGTACACCAGAGAATTTTTTCACAAATGAGAAGATCAATTACTGCTGTTAGGAAAAAATCATTCTTTTCGCTTATCTTGTAAAAACAAGACCGGAACCACCATACGTACTAATAACGATAATAAAACATCACCCTCACAAAATTCGATAATTTCCCAATCACTATGACAATTATAAAATGTATTCCTTAACACCAGTGTTTAAAACTAATGTTTGATAGTGTTTACTTCTAACCCTAAACAGTGTTTAATACTATCCCTATACAGTGTTTACTACTATCCATATACAGTGTTTATTACTATCCCTATACACTGTTTACTGCTATCCTTGTACAGTGTTTACTACTATCCCTATACAGTGTTTATTACTATCTCTGTACAGTGTTTACTACTATCCATATACAGTGTTTACTACTATCCCTGTACAGTGTTTACTGCTATCCTTGTACAGTGTTTACTACTATCCCTATACAGTGTTTACTACTATCCCTGTACAGTGTTTACTACTATACCTATACAGTGTTTCATACTATCCCTGTACAGTGTTTACTACTATCCCTATACAGTGTTTACTACTATCCCTGTACAGTGTTTACTGCTATCCTTGTACAGTGTTTACTACTATCACTATACAGTGTTTACTACTATCCCTGTACAGTGTTTACTGCTATCCTTGTACAGTGTTTACTACTATCCCTGTACAGTGTTTACTACTATCCCTGTACTGTGTTTACTACTCTCCCTGTACAGTGTTTACTACTATCTCTATACAATGTCTACTGCTATCCCTGTACAGTGTTTACTACTATCCCTATACGGTGTTTATTACTATCCCTGTACAGTGTTTACTACTATCCATATACAGTGTTTACTACTATCCCTGTACAGTGTTTACTGCTATCCTTGTACAGTGTTTACTACTATCCCTATACAGTGTTTACTACTATCCCAGTACTGTGTTTACTACTCTCCCTGTACAGTGTTTACTACAATCCGTGTACAGTGTTTACTGCTATCCTTGTACAGTATTAACTACTATCCCTATACAGTGTTTATTACTATCTCTGTACAGTGTTTACTACTCTCCCTGTACAGTGTTTACTACTTTCCCTATACAGTGTTTATTACTATCCCTGTACAGTGTTTACTACTATCCCTATACAGTGTTTACTACTAGCCCTGTACAGTGTTAACTACTATCCCTATACAGTGTTTATTACTATCCCTATACACTGTTTACTGCTATCCTTGTACAGTGTTTACTACTATCCCTATACAGTGTTTATTACTATCTCTGTACAGTGTTTACTATTCTCCCTGTACAGTGTTTACTACTATCCCTATACAGTGTTTATTACTATCCCTGTACAGTGTTTACTACTATCCCTATACACTGTTTACTGCTATCCTTGTACAGTGTTTACAACTAGCCCTGTACAGTGTTAACTACTATCCCTATACAATGTTTATTACTATCCCTGTACAGTGTTTACTACTATCCCTATACAGTGTTTATTACTATCCCTATACACTGTTTACTGCTATCCTTGTACAGTGTTTACTACTATCCCTATACAGTGTTTATTACTATCTCTGTACAGTGTTTACTATTCTCCCTGTACAGTGTTTACTACTATCCCTATACAGTGTTTATTACTATCCCTGTACAGTGTTTACTACTATCCCTATACACTGTTTACTGCTATCCTTGTACAGTGTTTACAACTAGCCCTGTACAGTGTTAACTACTATCCCTATACAGTGTTTATTACTATCCCTGTACAGTGCTTACTACTATCTTTGTACAGTGTTTACTACTATCCCTGTACAGTGTTTACTACTATCTCTATACAATGTCTACTGCTATCCCTATACAGTGTTTACTACTACCCTATACAGTGTTTATTACTATCCCTGTACAGTGTTTACTACTATCCCTGTACAGTGTTTACTACTATCCTTGTACAGTGTTTACTACTATCCCTATACAGTGTTTACTACTATCCCAGTACTGTGTTTACTACTCACCCTGTAAATTGTTTACTACAATCCGTGTACAGTGTTTACTGCTATCCTTGTACAGTGTTTACTACTAGCCATGTACAGTGTTAACTACTATCCCTATACAATGTTTATTACTATCCCTGTACAGTGTTTACTACTATCCCTATACACTGTTTACTGCTATCCTTGTACAGTGTTTACTACTATCCCTGTACAGTGCTTACTACTATCTTTGTACAGTGTTTACTACTATCCCTGTACAGTGTTTATTATTATCCCTATACGGTATTTACTACTATCCCTGTACGGTGTTTACTACTATCCCTATACAGTATTTACTACTATCCCTGTACAGTGTTTACTACTATCCCTATACGGTTTTTACTACTATCCCCGTACAGTGTTTACTACTATCCCTGTGCAGTGTTTACTACTATCCCTGTACAGTGTTTATTACTATCCCTGTACAGTGTTTACTACTATCCCTGTACAGTGTTTACTACTATCCCTGTACAGTGTTTACTACTATCCCTGTACAGTGTTTATTACTATCCCTATGCAGTGTTTACTACTATCCCTGTACGGTGTTTACTACTATCCCTATACAGTGTTTACTACTATCCCTCTACAGTGTTTACTACTATCCCAGTACAGTGTTTACTACTATCCCTGTACAGTGTTTACTACTACTATCCCTGTACAGTGTTTATTACTATCCCTATACGGTGTTTGCTACTATCCCCGTACAGTGTTTACTACTATCCCTATACGGTGTTTACTACTATCCCTGTACAGTGTTTACTACTATCCATATACAGTGTTTACTACTATCCCTGTACAGTGTTTATTACTATCCCTATACAGTGTTTACTACTATCCCTGTACGGTGTTTACTACTATCCCTATACGGTGTTTACTACTATCCCTCTACAGTGTTTACTACTATCCCTGTATGGTGTTTATTACTATCCCTATACGGTGTTTACTACTATCCCTATACAGTGTTTACTACTATCCCTGTACAGTGTTTACTTCTATCCCTATACGGTGTTTACTATCTCTATACCGTGTTTACCACTATCCGTGTATAGTGTTGATACTACATCTGTTGAGTGTTTACCTATTTTCCCTTTGCAGTGTTTGTTTATTCTTCTGTATGGTAATTACTTTTCATTTTCTGGATTGGGATATATTTTAATGTAACGTTTTTTTAACATTCAGATATGCTAACTAAGATCACTCCTCCCTTGAACTTTGAAATGTAAAGGTACGCTTTTCTCATTTTTAATTGATTTTTATTTATTTCAGCTACCACATACAATGATACGGATATGTGGAACGTTGTCATCCATTGTAAAAGGAGAGTGTCTTCAAGAGGCAATGAGTGAACTTTTACAATAAATTATTTTAAATGCAGTGAAAGGATAATGTTATGATTTTACAATAAAAATGTTTGAGTAGATAATTTGTACAAATCGTACCACACTTCAACAACACATGTTCTTAGTGTATAACGTAATGTTGTGTTAATGATAGGTTTCAATAGAGTTTATATCGGTATGGTTATTGCATAATTGAAAACGGGATCAACAATTATAATGAAATATGTTTTATGTTAAAATCATAATATTACGCTAAACCATTTAATCACTTTTATTACCTGAAAGCGATATGTGCAGTGATAATAATGTCTGAGGTGTGTGGCAGATGTCGGTTTCACCGACTCTACCTGTCACGGAAAAGTAGGAAACCATTTGTCTAAACCACAATTTACCTGTTGTGTCAGCACTGAAGCTAACCTGTAACATCTAATTGGTCAATTTGAATACGGGTCCTGAGAAACAAAAACAAAACAAAAATATAAAAAAGTCCTTTGATTTATGGATGTTCGAGTTATCTCGCCGTTTAATAAATCTTTTTGAATGATAATTAATAGGTGCAAAATGTTTCGGGGATAAACATATCACGTGATGATGCCAAAGTATATAATGAGAATTTAGCAAAAAGCTATTGATCCTCAAGCTAAGATGAAGTTCTCGTTGGTTGTGATATCCCTTGTGTTTTCTTTGCAGGTTGATCGTGTACTGTCGAGACGTATGTTGATGCACTGTTCTATATATGTTCTAATATACTTCTAATTATGTGCATTATCAATAGGTCTAATTTGCATCGTGGAATGATTATGGTGATAATTTGATTTGTTTTTATCAGGTCAAGTAAGATGCTACGGCAGTCCTGTGTGTGGTGTTGACGGCAGGACGTACAGCAGCAAATGTCTGGCTGGACGGAGGTAAGGTTTATGGTTATCAGATCACACCCTGACACGAAAATTTTCCATTGACCCTTCAAGAGACTCCATGTGAAATGGAAATTCATGTAATATATATACCTGATAAATATATGTTATATAACACGTAATTAAGAATACAAAGGAATTCAAATATATACACGTTATAATTGTTCCATCTTGTGGCTATGGTGTCATCGAAATAATTGCAACACACACACTAATTAAGAGGCACCTATTATAGATAATTAAGATGTCAACATTTACAAATATTTTGTCAATAGTTCTTATTTCTGTCATTACAGGTTTAGATTTACCAATCAACCACATCAATAGTTATAAACATGTTTTAAACACGATGGTTTCTTGTCAGATACATGTGTCGGCTGTATAGTGTTTGAGCAAAACATTATACTTAAATCAGGGCCTTAATGTGTCCATCTCCCAGCTTATTTTTATCATGTTAAGGGGCATAAAAATATTTTTTGTGGGATGCATTTTATTGGAGAAAATGTAAAGATGCATAACGATGATTTCGGTAATGTTGGGAGGGGTAAAAAATGGCTAACCTTTTTCTTCATAAAACACAGGTTGAGTGCATAACCTAATGTGGTCCTCGTTTTATCATAATAACTGTTTTAAACCAATTAAAGATTTGCATTATGACTTTACAGAGGTGTGACCGTGGAATGCGATGGGAAATGTCCCTGCAAACCAGGTTGTCAATGCACTGAGGAATTTAAACCCGTTTGTGGAGCGAATGGTAAAATGTATAGCAACGCGTGCAAGGCCAAGTGCGCGTAAGTATATAAATCATCAGATATTAAATCAAGGGGTGAGGTTTTATCGCTAATAACCATGACGAACAATGCAATTATATTCTAGTTATATGCAACTAATACGGATTTTTATCAAGTACAAGAAACTTCATCGAACAATTTATGTATGCTTATTAGATGTTAATGCATTGGTAAAAAAATTCAATCGTATCAATATTCTTTCAACACTCCTTCACCTGTTCATGTTTTTATTTATTTCAATAAGCCTGATAGAACGAAATGGTTGTAGCTTATCTTTTTAAAATATTTAAATCATATAGATGTTTAACCAGTTCAAATTATATATTTAACTGTACTTGTATACGACTTTTGTCTCATCATGGATTTAAAATTTCAGGAATGTGAAAACACTATGTCCGGGTCGCTGCCCCTGTAGAAAGAAGTGTGCGTGTAACAAACGCTTGGATATAGTATGTGGCGCAAATGGAAAGACATACGGAAACACCTGTATGGCCAAATGCAAGTTAGTAGATTTAACTAGGGAGGTCATATTACACATGCTATGTCATGTATAATGTGTACAATCTATTATCTATTTTAAATATCTGAAATCTGTTTTAAACAATATTGATATGTTTCATAGTCATTACCTAGCATATATCACTTTGTTGTTGAAGTATAATTCCTTAAGTAAACATTGATTATATATATACCTTTGCATCATAAAGTTGCTTGTTACACGTACATAGAATGAATTATAAGGATTATCAATTAATAAGTTTTCTATTCCATGCTACGATGCTGGATATAGTTTTCACTCCTTTAAGAAACAGAAAACTGTTTAAAAGTTTTAGTGGGAGTGACTCGCTACCAGGAATCGTATAGTCTATAATAATTTCTACAGGGGTGTGAAAGTCAGATGCAAAGGCAAGTGTCCATGTAAAAAAAGACCTTGTAGATGTCCATTAAGGCTGAAACCAGTATGTGGAGTGAACAGAAAGACATACCCCAGTGCATGTACAGCTTCGTGCAAGTATGTGTAAAACTGCTATTGAATCAACCTTACAGTATGTATCGTTATTTTTAGTACATATGTTATTTGAAGAAAACAAGTTTTTCTGCAATGAGATAAGTATTACATATTTTCTGTCTAATCAGCTACCTGTTTGAGTTCATTAAGAATAAAGTACTTAATGAAATGTAATTAGAAATAAGATAGTGCCGACATATCATGAAAATCGGAATGTCAACCTGAATAGATAAAACTAGGGCAACATATGCAGGAATGAACTGCTGCATTGACGACGTTCGCCATATATATATTGATTAATACAAGGAGCTACGTGCTCGAATGAACGTAAACCACACCTTAATTATCACTGATGTTATCCATTTGTCTTACTGATTTGATGAGAATTTCGTTTTCTCTAACCTGCATATTGATGTATTAGATATACATGTTCACAACGCTAAGGTTGTCAATAAGACTGTCTTGCCAAATTTCATCATATTTATTGCAGATGCATACAAAATTGGGTTACAATTTGAACATTTACGCTCAATAAGCATGAGTTATACCCTATACAAGTTTCCCACAGCTCCCCGAAGTGTGTGTATATGTGTATTGGAGTCGTTGTGTAGGCCATTACACATGTACGTTTCAGACAGTTTTTTTCGCCGTAAATCGGGAATCCCATTTACTCATGGTACCCCTCTATGATGAATATGGTTAGACATTCTTAAACACATATGATTGGTCACCAGTCATACCTGACAATGTAATGTGATAAGGATGTAGCAATAACCATCGGCGTACGACACGTCGATGTATATATAAATTACGAGGGTTTTCTACAGGACAATCTTTACTTACCACAAATTGTCTGTTGACAATTCCTGTGATACCGCATTTTGATAAAATACTGAAAAAAGCAAAATGATTAATACTGTCCGTTAGGTTCTAGCTCATATCAACACGAATCATGTATCTTCAGCTCAAACTAATAGTTTTACCATTGCTGTGAATCTGTCTCCAGAAATTTCCACCATTCCACTTTTGGCGAAAACGTCCATTCACGCTTACAGCTCTATGGATCATGGTAATTGAATAATACAATTTGTGCAGAAAGCTTTCCACAGAAAACAATTATCTTTTGATCAATTGTATATCAATATAAGGCTGTTTTAATTGAACTTTAACTTTTACACATTCATAAGTTAACATTGTCATTCAATTTCCACAGAGATGTTAAAGTAAGATGTAATGGCAAATGTCCCTGTCGAGCTTGTAGATGCCCAAAGATTCTGAAACAGGTGTGCGGGTCGGACGGCAAAACGTATTCAAATATGTGTTTAGCATCTTGCAGGTATATTTACCTAACGCACAGTAAGTCAGTATGAATTTATAAGAATTTCTTTACCTCTTGCTGAAATATGTGTTTCAGTCATGGTGACTGATACACTTGAAATATGTTATCACATGATTCAGCGACAAAATATACAAGCAAAAATGCAAATTAAACAATGTTAACATATCATCATGCTTGTTGAATGAAGTTAGAGTATACATTTATAAATTAAACGCAGCGGTGTCTGCCATTTGCTGGTGAAGTCTAAAGATTTCGTTCAATACACTTGACATAATTTGTGCCATTGTGACCGTAATGACTATCATACCTGTCAAACTTTCATTACATAACACTGTGAATCTTTTTCCACAGAGGTGTTAAAGTAAGATGTAACGGCAAGTGTCCTTGTCGAGCTTGTAAATGCTCATCACTTAAAAAACCAGTGTGTGGATCGGATCATAAAACATACGTTAACTCATGTGCCGCCATTTGCAAGTACGCTTACTTAATAACAGCAATTACCTACTTTTCTTTGTAATTTCAATACATGAACCAAAATACCATTCGAAATATATGTTTTTTTTCTGTATAATTGTGTTTGTGATTGAAATTTCCCAAACCACTATTGTATGGCTGAAAAGGGAAGGAAAATAGATAGAGGAGTGATACAATATTGATGACATAGCCTTGCAATATGTTACATAATTTCTTATAGAACTATCAATGTTCAGTGAGAGAAAAAAACACGTGCACATGATGGGAAAATATGACATTTCTGTTTAATCCTCTTATCATAGTGTATGGATTATCACATTTAGCTCCAGTGTAAATGATATGTTGTATAGTAACAATTTGTATGGCAACCAGTATCATGCAAAGTTTTATGACGGTCAATAATAAGTTACCTAGTCATACTAATTACTTATTATCATATTTGGTATTGTTTTTCCCCTTCAGAAATGTTGTGGTCAAGTGTCAAGGCAAGTGTCCATGTAAACGAAAAACATGTGCTTGTCCACGTATTCTGAAACCTGTTTGTGGAGCGGACGGAAAGACATATCCAAATGCTTGTACAGCAGCATGCAAGTATGTGAAACAATGAACCTACTCGAGATACTCTGTGTAAAGTGAAGTCGTTATGTTAAATCAAGGTTAAAATCTGTTGAAAAGAACTTAAAAACTTACTGTTACCTAGGCTGTTAAACGTACCTGTGATGAATAGAAATGACAAGTATTAAACAATTTGATGTTTTTCGGTGAAATTCAAACACCTGTACTCTTGCTATCAATATATGAGCGATTGTGATGCCTGACAATGCGTTATCTCTATTGCAGAAAAGCTCGAGTACGATGTCAGTCTCCTTGTCCCTGTCGGTATGGCATGTAAGCAGTTCTGAATCGGAAGTGACGAAGTACGATCATTTCATTATACTGCGTCTTAATAAAGTAATGCAACGTCACATATCTTCATAGTTTGTCATACAACAACCAATAGCACAACTCTGTAAATATAAAGGTGTTTAATGGTAAAGGTGTTACCTATATCACATCACCAAAGCAAACACATACGAATAATTCATTCGTTTTTAAAGAACCTTTGCACCATTAGTATTTGCTGTTCGCTAATTCAACTGACCAGATAATTGGTACCATTATCATTTGTTAATATGTCGTCACAACGGATGGTGCCTTATTTTGAGTTAACTTGCACTTAGAAGATTTAAGATAATTAATGGCGATCGACCCTTCGGTGACGTCACTCTTTCGAAAGTCCGGTTATCAGTTTCGTTTTAAATAACGCAATACCTATATCCGGTTTAGGAGTTCACTATGTATCTTGTTGTTCTGGAGACTGTTACATATCACGAAGCAAAGGCCAGGGATAAGGTTGGGGAATTTAGTAAACGAGGTAACTTTTAAAAGATCAGTATATTAAATAATGGAATGAAACGCCAAGGTCACTCGGATTGTATAAACACGGATACCGTATTGTAAATTAGCCATATTTTACTTTTGAAGCTAAAAATAGATGTACTGTTGTTAGAAAGACACATCAAAAAGTAGAAACGCCTGTATTCCTTTGGGAATGGAAGGATAACTGAGAGCAAAACTGGTAACCGAGAAGTACGATGCCTTCCGGGTGTAGCTTACCGGAATCTTCGGAACTGTAATGTCCTTTCACAACTGTCAGTACCAGCAATTTAATGAAAAAAAGTGGGTGAGGTTAGATTTTATCTATTTGTTTTAATGTATTTATGATAAAGTGTTCGCAGAAATTGAAGAAATGGATGATTATCCTATAAATGGTAAAAAGCAAAGAAAAAATCATAGGTTTTTTTGCCGGTAAAAGAAACAAGGTTTTACAATAAATGATTTTTAAACGATATGTAATATCTATTATTCTATATAAGGGAATAAAAAAAATGCCTAATTCCTTGAAAAGTGTCAAAATCTGGATCAGCATTGTTTCTATATACTTTTAGTCAAAGTAATATTTTAACATATGTGTTCTGTGTGTTTGTTGTGGTTAAAGTATACTATGGATTTAAAAAAAATTAGTTTGAGTGTTGTCCCATAAAATCTGAAGGGATGGGCTACCTTAACTAGGATAATTCAACTAATGTCTGTATCCGGTTTCTGTACTACTTATAAGCTTCTAGTTCTACAACTAATATAACGTTTGTTGAATTCTTTGTGAATGAATTGTGTGGCAGGTCGTTGGCGTAAATGTTATTCTAATAGTGTCACCAATCCTTTCTTAAATCCTACCCTAAGGTTTTTATATACAGATAAATACGTCGTGGAAACGTTGGATCAAACCTGTTTCATGAATCATCATCATCACAACTTTGAAATACCTTAATTCCAGACATGAGTTACCCCTTTCCTTAGTGTTTGACATTTCAGTTTGTTCTGTAGGTAAATATTTAATAAAAGAAATTAATAAAAAATATAGATAAAGAAAAATAATAATAAAGCACAACGACAACCCCTTAATCTTTATGTGAAGATCACCTAATTTTACTCATTCAAAATGCAGTGTCTTAAAAATTTCATGACATTGTCAAATACAGGATAATGCTTCAAAATGTTCAGTTTGGCATATCAGCAATCTTTTTGTAATTGACATAAGCCTGCTAACATGTCTTCAATGAAACAGCCATCATTCAAGTCACAAAAGACTCCCTGTACCATTTCTTGTACAATTTAAACTTGGTCCTGTTACCATAAACTGAACGAAAAATTCGGGCCGGTTTTAGATGACAATCGGCGATATTGCGGCCCTTCATTACAGCTCTCGTAGCTTCACATTTTGGACAATGCGCTGATCACCTTGAAGTAACTATCTACCCGAGTGCCAATAGTTATTAGACGAGGTAGAAAGATAATATAGTGGAAGAGATGATGTTCCAAATAACATCTACATTCAGCCTTACCAACGTCTGTTCGTGATTGAAATTGAATCTTCTTGTTGGGAATAACTGTAAGACACGGCGGGAATATTTCTACCGTGAATGTCTTGTGTAGGATGTTAATATATTTTTCTTGTTCACAAACCCCACTTTCATGAAATTGCCCGAGTATTATTGCAGCTATCTCCACAGATTAATATATATTCCGAGTACATTTCATAAAAAGTAAACAAAATATTTGTTGATGAAGATTTATGATAAATCTTACGTCTGAACAGACATTTTAAAAAATATTCGTGCTACTTCAAACTTTCCCTAAATAAACCGTACGAGGGAAATGTACTTTTATATCGCGAAATCAGTTATCATGCTTTGTGCGCAGTTTAATTTATACAGCTCATTCAAATATTTATTCCTAAAATTAGAAACCACACAAATGTCAAAAGCATTAGAATAAAAAGTTGTATTTGCAGTTTTTATTAAAACCAGCTAAAGCTATGTGAAACTTATGGTGGGTGAAAAAGGACAAAACTGCCACCGAATGAAATGTATGCCTGCCAGGCACGGATCGAAATCGACACTGTGTATTTATCACACCAAGGTGCTTCAGGGTATTTTTAAAACAGCATAATATACCGTTTTGATCATAAATACTAGACATTAACAAAATATACCTTCCACCAATTAATTATTTTAAAGTAATTAATTCACGCGATTCACTCAATCTGCTACGGTTTTGTAATTTATAAATATGATGATGTTTTAAACCTATGCAAATTTCCGATGAATTTAAATCGATTATAACCTCGTATTTTAGGAGTTTTTTTTTCATCAGCAGATCTCATACCATTTTGTGTGAGTTTATTCAAAACTAAACAAATAATTATTTGCTGAAGATATTTTCCTGACTATTGATTGAAAAGAGAAAGTTTAACCCTGAAATTCCTTGAAATCTTTTCTAAATATACAACATAAAGTTATTACAGGACAACTTTGGAATAAAAACAATATACCCAAGGAAACACTTAAACTTCATTATTCAGCTATTTCATCAATCTAGACCCGTCGGTTATGCTAACTATCTATTGTGGAGTCTCTATGAGGCAAGGATGATTTAAAGTTGTTAACATGTGATTGAATAGGCAGTTTATACACTGTTTTACATACACCTGTAAACTCTAGATCTTAGATCATGTGTTAATTGTTCAACGGTGAATACATCCGTATACTTTATTCTATTTAGCGCACATGTGAATTGTACTGGACTCAGTGCGTTTGGACAGTGTCCAGTGTGCGTAAATAATGTTTGGTTGTTTTGTAAAATCTAGTTGATCACATGATCTGCAGTTGATTACATGAAAGCGCCCGATCACATGACATGCAGGTGATCACATGACATTCGGTTGATCACATGATATGCGATTATGTATCTTTACTTGGTGACAAATCAGAAAATGACTAAGTGAATGATTTTTCATGTTGATAAGTATGTGTGTATTCTATCTTAATTCGATGTCCATAATTTAGAGCTGACCCACTCTATTTCAACATTCACTGATACGTTTACATACATACACAACCACCTATATCGGATTTGCTCTTCAGTCGTCACATTGATCTTCGTTCAAATGATCCAGTTCTGCGATCTCACTTTCCTGGCCTGATTCTTGTCGAAGGCTTAACATAAGAATGTGTGTTGTTTTAAAAAACCTTTAGTGTATTTGTGTTATTATTGTATAGTCTTTACAGATGTTTTGGAATAAAGAGATGAATTTATATGTCTATAATGGAGCACAATTGACTGATCGAAATATCGAAAAATAACAAAAATAACTCGAATATTTTCCCAATAGATACTTACAGATTGAAGTTAATAGCTTCATTTATGGTGTCTGGAAGTCGACAGCCCATAGTTTCGGGTAGGAGTAACGAGCAAAGGCCAGCTATGATTGAGCAAGCTCCAAAAATGATCAGGGGAATGGCTTTTCCAAAACGAATTACACCAACTGTGCCCTACAATTGTAAACCAAATAGTTATCATAAAAACAACTTCTGATTGTAGCGTCATACAATTTATATATACTGCCGTACATATGTGGATCAAATTCATATTAATTCATAAGATATATAGAAAAATAAAAGATTCTGTTAAGTATGAATTAAGTATTTATGCAAACAGTATAACACTATCATCATCGAAAATATCAAATTTCCCTTGGTAATTCAAAATATATAGAGGTAGTAAGGAAAATCAAATGTCGATGTTGAGCCCTAAACGCAAGCGCTGCAATTGAAACGAAACTGCTACAGGATTTACTGGAGGATTTTATATGTTAGAAAGTGATATTTTACTCACAAGCTTTGCTACATACGGCGCTAGCATTGAAGCAATCCTCGCGAAGCTAGAGCTTGTACCGACGGCTCCATTTCGAATAACTGTCGGAAACAACTCTCCCGTTAAGACGTAAATGGTCCCAAAAGATGCAGATGCACCCATTTTCCCAAGGACAGCAAGAGCAAGGATCAGTGGTTGTAATTCTAAAATTACATCGATGTAAATTAGTCATAATAACTCTAACATTGTCTTATGTTTCACTTATTGATGTTGTTGTCAAGAAATATATGGTAATCTCATGTTGTCTTGCACATTTTCTTTATAGCTGCAAAATACCAAAAATACGTGTATATTTTGTAGAATTAACTTTACATGTATTGTACTGAAGTTTTGTGTCATTTTTACAACACACTTTCATTGTCCAGCTCATCTTGGTTATTACAAAAGACGTGAAAATTTGCACATAAATCGCTTTAGCGCACCCTATTATACCGGAGTATTCAACGCTGATCTTTTATAGCAATTGTCTAAAATTGGAGACAATTGAAGGGGTCATTCATTCTTTCAAAATTTGTCTTCATCCATAAAAATGCAACAAGACCAACCACTGTCCATTTCTCAGTCTCAAAATAAAATAAAAGAGACCAAGGGGTATATGTATATGAAAGTATTTTATTTTATTTAGCTCAAAGGAAATAGCAGCAGTAAGCTTACATACTAAACGGAGAAGATGACTTTCTGTGTACCATTCTGTTGTCCTGATTGTCTCAAAGTTGGAATAGCGCTGAGAGAGAGAGAGAGAGAGAGAGAGAGAGAGAGAGAGAGAGAGAGAGAGAGAGAGAGAGAGAGAGAGAGAGAGAGCACTAATGACCATGGGAAACATCCATATACAATTTGAGAGCGATTCTGCCTACATTCAATCAGGAAATAACGATAACAAGAGCTATTGATGGACGATGGACAGCAAACCACAGGAGAAAGGTGACTTAACATCCTACAATCTGATGATGCTTGTCTTATGAAAATATTCCAACATACAATGCACCGTCTCTAGCGATCATTTGAGAGAAAATTTACCCAATATTCATTTTTGCAAAACTCAAAACTCTATTTAAACCACCTGATATTGATTTAACATTGCTATGTAAACATGAAATTTGATGTTTGTCAAAATTTAGATATCTCTTAATATCATTCATATCTATTACATATCCTTCCTTCTCTTAGTGTCTAAGTAACGAGTTTCTTATTTCTTAGTTCATTGATTGCCGTAGACCTTCCAACAAAATGGTACATATCATTCGAATGTACATCAGAACAAAGTAATCTCTTCCGTCAACAACAACAACAACAACAACAACAACAACAACAACAACAACAACAACAACAACAACAACAACAATATAAGCATCATCGAGAGCATAAATACCTATAATATGTATTAGCCAATAAATGGTTTTGTGCTTCATCCAACCATACTTACCTTCTCCTCCAAATACCACCGGCATTATAGTACATATACAGGAGAGTCCCCCAATCAGCATCATGAAGCAGTGGACTCTCCTTCTCCCGAATTTGTTTAATAGGTACATGTTGAAGAAGAGTATGGGAACTTCAATGATAGATAGAAGGAAAATGGCTAGATAAAAACTGCCTCCTAGGTTTTCTGCATGCAGGAACACGCCGTAATACGTCATTCCCACTGCAAACCTGTTGACAGAGGGAAATAAAGTGATGCAATGGCGTTTAGAGGCCTCATCCCTATATTTGAATTGTACACCTTTTAAAACATACAACAACACGGAAATGTTTACTCTGTTAAATTTCTGTATTGCTGTTGCTGTAGTTATACTATTTTTTATAATGCAGTACTAATAGTGTGCACGTGTTTCAAACAAGAATAGAGAATGGATCCTTCGCACAATTTATCATCTCCCCGAACGTGCATACTCACGTTCGCCATACATCTATGTTTTTATTTCAACAGTTGCAAACTATAACATATTATCTGTTACTGTTGCCTAGGATTCAATTGACTGTACTTTCAAGTACAGGTTTCAATTTCTCCTACAAAATTAAATATCTGCCGTTTTTTTTAATATTGCACATTTCAAAATTTCCAAAATAAATATATTTTCATATTCCATACGTAGGTTTCGAAAGAACGATAATTGTCTTCAACTTTCTTGCATGTCGATATGAAAGTGCCTACCAATATGTCCATCGGTGAATACTTATCACTCTCACATATTCAAGATTTTGTAGAATGAATTTGTGTTTAGTCTTTAAACCAAGTCTAAATCACCACAGTCCTAGTGCCCCCCCCGCTTCTTACACACACATTTACTTGCAGCACAATACAATACGACTTCAATCATCAGCAAATATACTCACCAATTAAAGAAGATAACTAAAGTTCGTAAAGTAAGAGTCCTGTTCTTGAATAAGCTCCAGAGTTTTCCTTTGTGGACATTTTCTATATTTTCTATTCGTTGAAGAAGGTCTTCAGCAGGAATCTTATTGTTCATGAGAGCAATTTTGTGTAATATTGTCTTTGCCTCCTCGGTTCTGCCTTTACTCAAAAGCCAGCGCGGTGACTCGTCTAAAATGCTGTAACAGAAGTATTAGTTCATGATAAGATACACCATGCCTACTAATTCACATTTCTTCTTTCATAACTTAATTCTTTCACAGTTAGCGATCATTTGACAGATTGTCGAAGTCCTATACAGTAAGGGATACATAAAACGTGTTAAAATTGTTCGTGGTCTGAGAATTTAGTGAAAAAAGTCTTATTATCTTCAATTTATACAGACATACCACTCGTGGTTAAACATCACTATTTCATTCTTCTTGTTCAAAAATACGTTACACAAATTTCATATGTTGAATATGTTGTATTGTCATTCCGAAAAAGTTCGACCCAAATTTCAATACCACGTCGATAATCTTTAATTGTTATTTTGCATGTATCCATCATTTGATAATTGCGTTGGACATATTTATGAAAAACCCTATCTTAAAAATATACCACACAGCCAAAAACAATAGTTAACAGATACTGACTTACAACCAATAGGAAACAAAGACGATTATGGGTGAACTAGAGACAATCTGTATATATTGCCAGTCTTTAATAAGGAATCCCACACCACAAAGTAAGCACAGGCCTGTTGCGAAGCTTATGTTGAAAATCTGCCCAAACCACACACGTACACTTGGACCAACAAACTCCAGACCTGTAAAACACAATCGAACTTCCAGTATTTGATTCTTATTTAGTCATAGAAAAAGTTATTTAACAGTTCTAACCGAGGAAATTCAATGTTTCCTTCAATAAACGAATGTTTCATGAAATTAAAGATGGAAGATTTATAAAACGGCAACATAACCACATTGCAAATGAGATCTTAATACGCAGACTCACATGAATGGAGATAGGCTCGCCTCAAAATCACAAGAACATCAAGATTAAATTTACCAGACATAACAATAAACCAGGCTTCCTAACGAGAAATACCTGTGATGAATACAAGGTCATCTGAGACGCCACAAATACAAAAAGCATAACCAATGATAACATATAGCTGTTACAAACACTAAAACAAACTCACCAGGGCGTACTAATGCAATATAAGCAAACACGGCACATAACTGTCACGTCATAACGACATACACAAAAATCAAAACATGCAACATAACGACACTGTCGCAAATAACAAAAATGCTCTGATACGACACATACAGGTATATAAATGTCACAAACATCAAAACATGTTACGTAACGACACATACAGGTATATAAACGTACCAAAAACCAAAACATGTTCCATAACGACACATACAGGTATATAAACGTACCAAAAACCAAAACATGTTTTGTAACGACACATACAGGTATATAAATGTCATCAAACAAAACATGTTACGTAACGACACATACAGGTATATAAATGTCATCAATAAACAAAACATGTTTTGTAACGACACATACAGGTATATAAATGTCATAAAAAACAAAACATGTTCCGTAACGACACATACAGGTATATAAATGTCACAAACATCAAAACATGTTACGTAACGACACATATAGGTATATGAATATCACAAACATCAAAACATGTTTTGTAACGACACATACAGGTATATAAATGTCATAAAAAACAAAACATGTTTTGTAACGACACATACAGGTATATAAATGTCATCAAACAAAACATGTTCCATAACGACACATACAGGTATATAAACGTACCAAAAACCAAAACATGTTACGTAACGACACATACAGGTATATAAATGTACCAAAAACCAAAACATGTTCCGTAACGACACATACAGGTATATAAGTTCCATCATAACATGTACCTAACACAAAACCCAAAACCGAAACTCCCCTGCAGGCGGCTCCATTGACAAACTGTATTATGACAAAGGTATAATACTCCGGGGACCAAGACGCTGCCATTCCGGACAAAAACAGGATAGAAATGGCCATAATCAACGTCCTCTTTCGCCCGATGCTATGGGAAAATACAAAATCATTTATGTAAATGACAATTGCTCAAAGCTTAAAAAAAACAGCCCAGAAACCACCCTTTATCAATAACTGGTAGCTCGAGGTCCTTCACACAATTAAGTTTATGTTATAGATCAAGTATCGTTTTGGGCAACATATCTGAAGTTTGAAATCATTTCTGTTCTTTTTCAGGACATCACTTCATACAAAAGCTGATTACCCATGATATCGAAATATGAAATGGTTGCTGAATCAGGTTTCGCCCTGAATGGTGATACATATTCACGAAATTACTTACTAATCAGACAGCTGTCCAAACAGTATGTCTCCCATTACAACACCGAAGAAAAATATCATTTGTGCATGAGATATTTTAACGCTTTCCTCGCATACAAGGTTATGCTGGAAATACAATATCATACATGTGTATTGCACTTCCAAATATTAACGTATAGTTTTTCCTAATACAATAACATAAAGTTTTTACCTCAGATGAAATAAATGTTTTACTAATGCCTTTCATTTGGAGATTTTTGTTCTGCTTAAAATGTGGATGCCTTCACGTCAATGTATGAATATAAGACAGTAGATAGATACCCTTGCCTTTTTGTAACCAATTAAAATTTTAACTTTAAAAAATATTCTTTAATTGTTTCGAGTACTTCAAATGTACATGTACTTAATAATCACATGCGTGTCTAAAGCAGAATCATCAGAGAGTTTAGCTATTGGTTCATTTTCACGTGTGTTATTCTCATTATTCTCATACCGATAAGTGACAGCGACTCTCTACTTCTCTAACCCGAAGAGATCCTCATATAGTGCAAATTATTTGGCCTATATCATTTCGCAATCTATGGATACCTTTTAATTATAAGTTCTGTAAAGTGGAAGTAAATACCCTAGTTTTGCAAAGGTTATCAATGTGTGTATGATTGATTTTTCAAAAATTTTACTCCTTTGTTTTTGTTTCCAACATTAGGCATAATATATGTAGAGAGTGCGTGTTACAATCTAAGACGCTAATTGAAGCTGTTTTAATTATATATATATCTGTCTGTCTGTCTGTCTGTCTGTCTGTCTATCACACTGTCTGTCGGTCTGTCTGTCTGTCGAGGGGGAAACCCTGGCGTCTTACTGATTCTCTCCATGTGTGTGTATCAACATGATAACATCAGGGGAAAGGAGTAGTCAATGCTACTATGGGGTGGTATGTCTGCATTTTGTTAATATTTACCTTTTGGGCGTATCAGTTTGATATATAAGGATCTGGCTGTTGTGGTATTTGACGTAATGACATTTGTGATATGTAAAATGTAAATAGAAAATATTTAAATGTTTTTTCATGAAAAGAATATGTTTAACCGATGTCACAAAACGTGGGATTTTAATTAATTTAGTTATCATAGTGATCAACATACAAAACACTTGATATGTTTTCTTCTATCGGTCTTCCGGTGTGTTCTTTACATGCCTATGTGAACAAACTGTACCCCACTCTTAAATGTTTTGTTTTCGTTTTCATAAGAAGCTAAATTTATGGAATAACTTTAAAAAACATCTTGCGAAGCCCATACAATCCGTTGCGAGATCAGGTGATGACTGTTTTGTGTTTAAAAAACAAGAAATTAAAAATGAATAAATTTGGTACTTTTTTGAAATGTCAAGTATATTTACATGGTTTGAATCGTGCCACTATTGAATTACTTGAAAACGAGACAGGCAGGTAATAACCGTCCTCTCTCTCATCATTATTCGTGTAAATCATTCGTTTATTCACGCACATTATTTCATGATTGTGTAGACATGTTGGTAGTTTCTTTGTTGTTTTGATAAAATCTTTATTACATTGCACGGTATAGGATTATATTTAGCATATGACCCGTATGTCTTAACGATAAGCGGAAACTCTCATATTATTTTCTGTATAAGAAGTATGATATGACACAGAGGACAGTTGTGTGATTTGCAAATATATGTCTTGTTTACATGGCTACTACCCTTTGTTAACCAAAATAACCACGCGGCCGATCTGAGGGATCTTATTGCCATCACACTGTCTGATAGTGACATAAGATACATATGTCGATATATGGTTTTCAATGCTTCGCAGTTAAATAGACAATGGAAAAAATAGAGTAAAACTAATACTGATATCCAAATGTTTGACGAATTTAATGGTACTCACAAGTTTTAAAAACATACATGTTTTGACATGCTGCGGATGGTTTTAGACAACATGGCAAGGGTCTGAAGTCTTCATACTAAAATACCTACGGTGGTGGTGAATGTTGATTTAAAAACATCCTCGTCATAATCCCAAGCCTGACAAGGCATTTGGCGATTGTGCTTGGAAACATTAGACAAACTGACATCCGACGAATTAAGCGGCTCCTCAATAAATTGATATAAGTTGCATTTGGAAACAATGAAACGAACATCAGAGGAAATATTCATGTCATTTGAGCTCAGGGGATGTTTGCACCTAGGTGAAAATAAGAATAGTTAGTATCATAATGAAAGACAGTGACAGTCTGCATATTTTAAATCCAATTCACATAAAACAGTTTGTGAACTTCGCTCAAAGTAACGATACCTTTGAATAACATTTCCAATTAAGTATGGTAGAGCTAAGTAATAAATTCAGCTGCATCATATAGTTGTAACATTCTACTAGGACTTTGAGGAATTTGAGGAGATGATTGAGGGAAACCAAATGTCAAAATATATCAGCATTGATTGTTATCACTATTATGAGGCTTGTATGATGAATAAGCAATCATGTATTCAAAACGTTGCATTTGGATCAATAGTCACGAAAAGAAGTCCCTCTTATCCGATTCCGAAATTATGATTAATAAAAATGTAACCCAAACCCATTTTGATTAAAAACGTGTCTAGACGTGAACTAGGATAAGTGCTAACCCTCTTTTCTAATGTCTATTATCTTCATTTATGCTAATGTGACGATATTTTTTCTATTTCGAATCCGGAAATAAACCACAATGGAATTATTTAAGATTTGAAAATAGACATGTGAGATATGCTTATATTTAACAATTGCTAATGAGTAATGTATTGATTGTCAACAGACATTTTTAGTTTTGAATATGGAGTGTCATCGCAAACTTGATATCACAAGCCAGGAAGACTATCAACAAGCCAAATTATGTTTGGTCGTACCGCGCTCATTCCTTAAGGGCCCAAAACTTTTTTCTCCACTCATAAACTTTTTAGGACTCTTCAAATATATACAAATATAATTGATTATCGATATATTGTGAAATAATAATAAAGACGTATATAGAGATACTACACATCAGTTCACTGCATCCATGATATAGACTAATATAGAGATAACATATCTATAAATCACTACTACTACATGTAAATAAGCACAATTGGAAATTTTCAAATGAGACTGATTTAGAGAGAATGAGAATAAAAAGATGTATAACAGGTAGTCACCCCCTTCATAGGATTTTTTTCATAAACAATCTGCATACCAAGTTTTCATTTAAATAATGCCACTGCTCAAATTATACACATGTACTTATTAGACATGTGCAAATTATTTCGAAATTTATAGTATTTTGAAGCTAGTAACCCCTTCCCAAGCTACGTTTTAACATTTCTTTTGATAACCTTGTGTTTTTTTGTTTTTTGTTTGTTTTGTGTTTTTTTTTTTTTTTTTTGCAATCGTCTTCATGGCTTCGACATTTAGAATCTTAGCACCATTGGTTACAAAATTGTACACCATGTTAATCTGTTGGAAGAAGTTCATTCTGTTCCGTGATTTGTAAATGCTTTGTGTCTTATCTTACCTATGGTTTGGTGTATACAGCGCAAATACCATCATGATCATGAACATCGCTGATGAAGCCGTAGGTAGACTTAGCAATAGAAGAAGTCTTTTCTGGTAACGCCCGAAACCTCCAAGTTCCGGTATCAATTCGTCAAAGCTTACCATAATTGTTCTCCTTGATATTAATGCTAGAATATAAAACACACTTTCAGTGTTTAATCACGAAACATAAATCCTCATATGTAACCCACAATACGACATTACATAAAAACGCATACAACATTGGAGATTTGGCTTTGTCGTTCAAGTAGTTAATCAATACACAGGTGTGTTGATGAGCATTGTAAGTGCATAGATAGATCTAAGTTAACGTATCACGTATTGAGGATATTATTAGATTTTAACTATATATTTGATTTAATGATATTTTTGGAAAACTTGAAAAGATTAGAAGAGTTTTAGAAGAATTGTTTACATTTATTCTAAATGACAAATAATGTATTTGCATGTTTATTTTTAGGAAGGAGGCAATAATTTGCGATCCTAAGTCACCAACTTATGGAAACAACTATAAGCTGTTAGAGTCAAAGGGATGGGAAATCATATATGAATTATTTACATGGAATTCCGGTATGTATTGTTAAATAAATGTTGAGGTCGCTATCAATTTTATTTTGATACAGGTTAATTATAAGGGTGGTATCGTATTACAGGTTATACAAATACTAGTTAAGTGGTTATGCTTGGTCAGTGGGATGTTTTTAAGATTTGACTATTAACTTCAACGAGTGGCAAACTGAAACTGTATTTGAGCAGTTAACATTGTTCGAGTGGCTTTTTGAGCAAAACGATAAAAACGAAGTATCATTAAAAATAGTTTTCAATCGATTTTTAAAACACAATGTCAAAATCAGATATTTTGATAAGATGGATTTTTACGGCGAATATTATACTTTTTATGAGAATTAAATGAAAACTGTACATTAAGATGTTAACTTTAGAAATTAAAGTACAACATGTCAAATGACAAACCAGACCGTAACACCAGTTGATGGAAGCTGTATATCACATGGCGCACAATACATAATCTCTCGCGACTAACTTACTCAATAGTGATGTATTGACAAGACAGGAAGCAATCAAAGTACATAATGTAGATTATGATGAAAGACTTATCTATTGGAATAAGTATCATTAGGTATAGGATTACAGGCTTTCCAAAATTTTGACAAAAAGTATGTTATACGAATAATGACGTTGCCATAACAGCCAGAATGTTTAATCACTTGGAAAAATATCAATTTTCTGTCATTAGCAAATGTTTTCGACGATGAAAGTAAATAAAAGAATATATCCGAATTTCATAGTATTATGAACTACTAGAGGAGGACTCTAAAGGGTTTATATGCCAGAAATGTACTGATTTATGGTTGTTGTCATGGTTACCAGCTCGTTTTTCGAATATTTGATGTTGTTAGCTAATTAGAAAATGTTATTTTGGTCTGCGTGAATTTCATTACACAAGAAAAGTTTTGTATAACAGCATCAACAGTTTAGGCAACCGTTAGAATGTATATGAAACTAAAAAAATTATTTGTTAGAATTTCATAGCAACCAAACTTTGAAATTTGTGAAAAACGTTGATCTTGTGTGTAAAAACAATCTCAGGAAGCATCAAATGAAAGTTTTTCTATGCATATTGTGTAAGTTCTGGTGTATTTAAGAAGTTTCTAAATTACAAGCCTCATTAAATATTTATTTTCAGATGTCACAACTTAGTAGAAAAACAAAATCATTTTTTCAACGTGTTTTTTCTGTATTTGTTTAGTTATATTGATGATCACCTAAAAGTCAAAACCTGGTTGGCCATTTGAATGTCTAGACATTTTCACTTTATCTGTGGGGTTTGTAATTGAAAACTGAAAGAAATAACTGAAAATACCTTTGTGTCAACATAATTATAATCCAAACTCAAATTCAATAAAACTAAGGCAAAATCGAACATTGATTATTTCAAGTGAATAAAAAAAAACACAATACAGAGTCAAATTATACAATAATAGGGAAACTGGGAAAACCGACTGCACTGGATGTTCACTACTTAAAATTAAAAAAAAAAATACTGGAAGTCTGCATGAATGACGCAGAAGTTGTTCAAGCAACCACGGTGAGATATGGCATGTCTTTAAACTTAATGTTAATGAACACAATGGTTGTTGTACTCTTGTCGCCGGTTGCTATCAGCAAACGCCTGGATTTAAGAAAATATCAGATTTTCAACACAATATGTTTATACACCTATGGTGAGATATTTGTCGTGACTTTAGTGATATAGGCCTTTTAACATAATGATTGTCGTAGTCTTGCAGCCGGTTGCTTTTAGCAAAAGCATTGATGTGAGAAAATCACGACGATATCAACATATGAAGCTGAGTGGTATATAAAAAAACAAACTTTGTGTTGCTATAGAAACAAATTGAATTAACATGAATTTGGCACTGACTAAAAGTCCTCGCAAATTGATCAACATTTTGAACTGTAGGAGTCATGGAAGCGAGCCATTGAAGCGTTATTTTTAAATCAGCTTAAATTATACAAATTATGTCGTATTTTATCATTGTATGTTGTATGTAAAATATACAACTATTCACATGAATGGGATGCGTTATTCTGTATTTTGTTATTAATATTTTCCAATTTCTCCCGTTCGTTTACAAAGTTATTCGTAAGTGTCTCCTCTTTACTACAAGTTTGGACTTTATAATGAACAAGCATGGGACACCTATATCAATGAATTTATATTTATTAACTTGTGTAAGCTGAGTACAGACATTGTTTTATGTGCATAATAGCTTGATTGTCAAATTGATTGCGTCTCCTGAAATGTTGAAAAGCTAAAAGGCCGTAAAAGCGGACGTTAACATGTTAAATAAATAAGGTAAATAAATTCCACTGTATATATTGGAGTGTTGTTTATTATTGATCTGTACAAAAAGGGATGTTTGTTTATTCAATGAAAAAATGTATGATCGACAGCTGAAGCTTGTTGGTTTAGAAATACAACAATAATTACCATGAAGTGCTCACTGAGCTTGCGAATAAAAGTTTGTCCCATTAGCTGATGTTGCATAAACTTAAAAAAAGTCACGAAAAAATGTACAAAATGTATAAATGGGGTTGGGACATTTACATGTATAGTGCGATATGGCAAGTGCTGCACGTTTTTTTGACGTCACGTCACAGGAAGAATGCAAGTGTATACTAATTCGAGTGTTCGCTGTGTAGTCTGAATAGGGCATGCATTATATTGTAAGTGTGTCATCTCACGGAAACGTCAAAAGGATTTTCCGACTTTGACGTAAATGTAAAAGGCTTTGAGTATTTTAAACCAATTGTGAGATCAAAATGTAAAGGAGGTGGTGTACTGCGTCTGTTTAAGCGTGGCTACGTGATTATATTTCTCTAGATTCTGTAGAATTCGACAGTATTTTGTAGATGAGAGATGGTGGTAGACTTTTCCCTGGTCAGAAACTGGTTTATATAGCACGAACATACTTACCGCCGGATGGCTCTGTGTTTTATCTTGCTTTCGACGATGACAGCGTTGTTAGAAAACATATCGGTCATTATGGTACCTTAGGTAAGGAGTTTGCAATTGGCGACCTCAACAGCCGGAATGGTCTTAAACGGGACTTTATACCTTTAGACGCGTTACATGACATTGTCTATCGACAACTTGATGAGTTTACTAGTTATCTCCGGAAACCATGTGACGTCACATGTAACTCCGAGGGCTCACAAGTGTGTACGTTTGGTCGTAACCTACTTCAGTTATGTAAGTTGAGTGGTGTTCCGATCCTCATTGGCCGGCTGACAGGCGACCCGGATGGTAAACTAATATTTTGTATCCGGTGTCATTGACTACGCGTTAACTGATAAAACGTCTATGTCGTCTATCAAATGTTTTGAAGTAAATGCTTCAATGAGCATTCGGATCATGCGCCGATATAGTTAATGTTGTATTGTCTCCAGTCGGAAAATATACAATGGAATTTAAGAATGGAAGGGAACATGCTAAATTTATTTAAATGTAATAATCGTAAAGAATTTTATCGTGATCGTTTTAATCGTAAGACATGTAAGACAGGGGATATATCGTTAACGGATTTCTTCAATTATTTTAAAGGTTTAGCAGGTGAGGTCATTGACAGTTCTATTTTGGAAGACAAACACTGACTGACTGTTACCGAAATTAGATGTAGATTTTAACATAGATAAATTGTTAGAAGTAATCAAGGGTTTATACAATGGTTAATATGCTGGTATTGATTTCATACTTAGTGAATAGTTTATTGAGCACAAAGAGATGTTTTCATCTGTTTTATTAAGGTTATTTAATACTATGTTACAAACAGGATATTTCCCAGAGTCACGGGCTAATAACTATGAACTAAGAACTAGGTAGGGTTTTCACTATGTTTGGAATAGCCAATATATTTAAAAAAAAAAAAAAAAAAAGATGGGGTGATGAGGTGCATTTTTCTACATATCCTGTATCCCTCCATACATATGTATCTTGCGCCCCTCATCGGTGCCGATAATTTGTACCCCATCTTTTTGTTGTACATATAGACTGAAGTTAATGTCATTCAGATCTATATATCATATAACAACAGTGATTGATATTATGGTTGTATTTGAAATGTTCCTGTCATTTAATAAATGACCATTTGACAACATTTCTTTTCCCTGTTGTTTTTTGTTTATAAGATATGTACAACAAATAACAAGCTGCAGTCTCTGAGCTGAGTTACCGTGCTAACACAAATACATATATATATATATATATATTCAAGAATTACGCAGTGCCTTTGATGCATCTTCTAGAAGTTATTTGTACAAGCACCTTGTTGATACTTTTTTTGTGCCCATTTCATTTTCATAATCAGCAGATCAACACCTCCACAAATAAAGACGTTATGGCGGTTTTTCTCACTACCGACATCGCAACACGTAGAAATGCTGATTTGGGAGTTAAGGGGTGAGAAGGCATTAAAAAATAACGTCAACATCATCAAACTCAAATTACATAAAACTTTCCCATGATAATAAAGACAAAATTACATCTTTGTGAACTCCTGCACAATGAACCTACGTTGTTAGTT